GCCAGACTTCCAATCCTCCCCAGCGAGATCTAGATGGCGCCACCGACTCTTACCAAGCATCTAGATAGCGTTGGACCATCCGCATTTGCACCAAGAGCTACAAGCGCTTTCCTTATCAGAAAAATCATATTTAATAACTGATGTCCAAGCTCTTCTGAGGACTTATACCCTTAACATTTCGTTATAAACTGTAAAATAATTTTTAATTTTGGTTTGTTTTGTGGGGGTATGAGTCGGTGAAGCAAATAAATTATTTACCTTGAGCTGCGGCGACTTCTCTAGAAGTACATACAAGTATGCATAATCCTAACTTTCTGTGTCATAGTTTTGGAGATCTAAGCGTTTTTCCGCGTGTTGTGGGCGTTAGTGAATGCGGAAACCATTTTTCGAGCTTTATATGTGTAAGCAAGGCAGTGGCCGGATAATGGTATCACTTTACGATGCACTGCCATTTCAATATTATATTATATTTCTAACCACGTCGTCGTATGCAGACGTGTATTTTATTGTGCTCCGGGAAAAAAAGTATTCAATAATATCCAAAAAATACAGTGACTGGTTTCGTAAACGCTTTCGGCAATGGGATCGTGAATGTTTATATTGATTAATTAATTAATTAATATAAAACATAACACTAATTCTAACAAACTCAATCTCGACTGCAATGAGTTTAAACGACGTTCGCACACAACGTCAACGTGAGCAAGACGAGAGACGGCTTTCAGTACAAAGAAACAACGCTTACTTCTCTTTCAAAGCAACCGAAAGTAATGCAAGCTCTTCCCAAACACGGTCAATTACCCCAAATTTGACCGAATTCTTAAATGTAGAGAGCGAGAGAGCGCGTTCTTGCTCCCCCTCGCTACCATCGATGTCTCTGCAGCCAAAGAGCGCAGCAACTAGCACCGCAATTTCTTTGACAACGTCAACCGTAATAACAACAACAACCGGAACTGTAACGACAGCGCGTTTAACGACGTCATCAGCTAGCAGCGCAAACATTAATAATTCTGCCGCTGCGCTGCCCGAAAAAGAGAACAAAAACAAGGAAAATATTAAGCCGGCTGTGCAGAATGGTATGGATCGCTACATCCCCCTAAACTCTCAACGCAAAATAACCCGTGGCAATGCTAACATAGCTGCAATAGAAACGCCCACTAACTCAAACCGTTTTAAAATCTTGGCAGACTATGAGGATGATGCCGAATCTACTGAAGTCGAAAAAAGCAAGACTAAGCCCCCGCCAATTTACATACGAGAAAAAAGTTCCAACGTTCTTGTCAACAAAATTATAGAGCTTATTGGCAAGGACAATTTTCACATAATACCACTCGTAAAGGGCAACATCCAGGAAACAAAAGTTCAAACGAAGTCTGAAGATAATTAAAAAGTATTATCAAAATATCTCACCGACAAAAAAAATAACTTTTATACTAATCAGCTAAAAAGCAGCAAGGGCCTGGAAGTCGTACTTAAGGGCATAGAGTCCTAAGTATCGCCTGCAGAGATAACAAAGGCGCTACAAGAGAAGGGATTTAGCGCTAAGACAGTCTTCAATATCCTTAACAGGGATAGAAAGCCGCAGCCACTCTTTAAGGTTGAGCTCGAACCAGAAATTAAGCCCCTAAAGAAATACGAAGTGCAATCTTCAGTTCCTGCTGCACCGCAGAATTACGGTTGAGGAGCCGCACAATCGCAATGGCCCGGTACAGACTGCGAACTGCCAAGAATTTGGCCATACAAGGTCCTACTGTAAACTGCGTCCGGTGTGTGTAGTTTGTGGTGAGCTTCATGACTCCGCACACTGCCCAGCGAGCAAAGATGACCACAACTCAAAAAAGTGCGGCAACTGCTGTGGAAATCACACTGCTAACTATAGAGGTTGCCCAGTTTATAAGGAGCTTAAAAGTCGTATCCACCAGAGGGGAATTACTGCCCGCACCCAAAAAAAAGGATAGCCTCAAGGTCAAATCCTGAAGTCTTCTTCTCGACTGCAGCCAGATCCTCAATAGGACCCATAAGCTCTGCCAAAAACTTACATACGCAAGTGGTTTAAAATCAGGTCTGTCTACCCCAACCTCAAAAAGCTCATTGCCGCAATCAGCATATCAAGAACCGAACACGGCTCAGCAGCATCAACCGCCCGAACAGCCAAAAAGTAACTTTGAAGCTATGATATGCAGACTACAACAAAGCCTTACGGAGTTTATGTCGTTTATGCGTACAACAATGCAAGATCTGATGCGAAACCAAAATCAATTAATAAAAATGCTGGGTTCACAACAATCTAAATAATGACTTCCCTACGAATATCTACGTGGAACGCTAACGGCGTTTCGCAGCATAATACTCGAGTTAGCGCATATTCTACTGGCAAGCAATTAACCGAAAATGAGTTTATGCAGTTTTTCAACTCACTCAGAGACCACTTCATAACAGCAGGAGACTTCAATGCCAAGCACACACAATGGGGATTCCGTCTCGTGACTCCAAAAGGAAAGCAGCTCTATAATGCAATTATCAAAGCCAAGAACAAGCTCGAATATGTTTCTTCTGGCACACCAACATACTGGCCGGCAGACCCAAAGAAATTTCCCGATTTAATAGACATTGCGATTACCAAAAACATTTCTAAAAATATGATAAGCGCCGAATGCCTTTCGGATCTTTCATCTGATCACTCGCCTGTCCTTTTTACTCTACTCCGACATCCAGGAACATGGGATCAACCATTAAAACTGACCTCACATAAAACCAATTGGGTTAAGTACAGGAAGTATATTAGCTCACACATTGAGCTCAGTCCTCACCTCAGCGATGAAGCCAACGTAGACATTTTCGTTAATTCAATACTCATCTCTGCAGCTCGAGTTTCAACACCTCATACTTTAAACACATTATGCAATCAAAAGAAGACAAATCTACAGATTGAACAGCTCGTCCTTAAAAAGCGACGCTTACGTCGAGAATGGCAATTTCACAGATCGCCATCTGCTAAACAAAGCTTAAAACATGCCTCACGTCAACTTTCTCAAGCTCTACAGCAAGAAGAAACATATGTCCACCGCCGCTACATTGAGCAATTGTCAACTAATAGTACAAAACACTCACTATGAAGAGCTCACCCAACTCTGAGCTCACCGAAAGAAACCGTGATGCCTGGGCGGCTGGGCGTGCAGTGACGCAGACAGAGCCAGCACGTTTGCCAACCACCTTAAAAATGTCTTCCAACCAAAGCCTGCCACTAATGCGTTTTCTTTGCAGACTCTATCATATGAGCCCCAGCCTCAACATGAGCTAATTGAGTTTCCCCCAAACGAAATCGTAAAAATCATCAAAAGACAACTGAATCCGAAAAAATCCCCGGGCTGCGACCTCATAGCTCCCAAAATGATCATTGAGCTCCCATACTGCGCGATTTGCACTCTCACCCAGCTCTTAAATGCCATCGCAAAACTTGGCCACTTTCCAGTGAGATTAAAAAAGTCAATTATAATAATGATAGCAAAGCTGGGGAAAGACCAGACTATCCCCACGTCGTATAGACCTATAAGCCTACTCTCTTTTCTATCTAAACTCTTTGAAAAATACATAATGACTCGGATAAACAAATACCTGAAAATCCAGGAAGGAATCCCGTCACACCAATTTGGGTTTCGTGAAAAGCATGTAACATTTGAGCAGGTCAATCGGATAACATCAGAAATTCGAAACGCTTTCGAAAAACGAGAGTACTGTACTGCCATATTTTTATATATCTCTCAAGCATTTGATAGAGTCTGGCTAGAAGGTCTAATGTACAAGATCAAGACAATGCTCCCCTACAAGATTTTAGAGTCTTTGTTTTCGGAGTCATTGAATTCACGACAGAAAATTTGCTGTGATGTGCAACAGTGCTATATCTGATGATTATACTGTTGGAGCTGGAGTTCCTCAAGGTAGCATGCTAGGGCCAACACTATATGTCCTCTACACAGCAGACATCCCTACAAGCACACGACTAACAACATCTACGTTTGCCTATGACAATGCGTAGCTAGCTCTTCATCTGCTCGATGTTGAATAATGGCTATCAGATTGGCGAATTAAAGAGAACGAGCTAAAATATAAGCACGTTACGTTCACTCTGAACAGGCAAAACTGCCCGCCGATTACGTTAATCAACACTCTACACCCACAAGCAAACGAAGTAACATACCTAGGAGTACATCTCACTCACATGGCACCTGCATATTGAAGCCAAAAGAATACACCTAAAGCTAAAAGCCAGCAGCCTTCATTGGCTTATCAACGCCCGGTCACCTCTTATCCTTGAATATAAAATCCTGCTGTACAACTCGGTACTAAAACCTATATAGATGTACGGCTCCCAGTTATAGGGGAACGTCAGCAATAGCAACATTGACATTGTTCAGAGAGTTCAGTCGAAGATCCTGAGAACAATCACCGGGGCACCGTGGTACGTTCGCAACGAAAACATACACCGCGACTTAAACATTCTACCAGTCAAAGAAGTGATCGCAGAACAAAAGGTGGAGTACTTCACCAAGCACCCTAACCACCTGGCGAGAGGTCTAACAAGGTTGAACCAATCACGCCTTCGTCGCAATGACCTACCCACCCAGCGACCTACCTGAGGGACGCTCAACCAGAATGCAGTCTTAGTATACTATTAGTTAAATTTTAATGTTAAGATTCGTCAACTTATTGTTAGTGTCAAAATTAAGAGTAGATTCAACAAATAAAAGCAAAGCTATATAAAAAAAAATAATATTATATTTGCCTAGTCCAATTTTGCAAGCTCTTATATTTCCTGATATCTGAGCGTGTGCATTAGAATGTACATGGCAGGACGTTGAAAAATCAAGAATCTGTATCTCGGCGAATACAATTTTTTCAAACATTGCTATACTTGGACAAATATTTAATAACTTTATAAAGACATTTTTTAATGTTATTAAGCATAAGATTACAATTTTTAAAACCTATTATCGTTATAGGGTTCATACGGACTTGTTAAGTTGGCTTATTCCGAAGAAGACTCTACACATTATGCAATGAAGATACTTTCTAAAAAACGGCTCTTACGCCAAGCTGGACTTATGAGGCGGGGACCCAAGAAAGCAACATCACCTTTGGATCGAGTTTACAGAGAAATAGCAGTTTTAAAAAAACTTGATCATCCTAATGTTGTTAAGTTGGTAGAAGTATTAGATGATCCACTTGAAGATTCATTATATATGGTTTTTGAATTGGTAAAACAAGGCGAAGTTTTAAGAATTCCAACAGAGAAACCTTTATCTGAAAAAAAAGCTTTGAGTATATTTCGTGAGACTTTACTTGGATTGGAATATTGTGAGTAGAACATTTCAACTTTCGTCAATCAGCCCGCCCGTTTTTACTCATTATTGTTACTAATTTAAAAATATCAAAAATCAATTTCATTTAACTTAAAGGAGACATATCTATTCTAGCAAAAAATATTATTCATCAGCACTTATAGGATATAGTCATATGTTTTCGTCTGACCCTTTTTAAAATTTTATTTTATTTATATATTATATATCAAATATTCTTTAGGCTGAAATCTTTTCTAGCTTAATTATGATGTAGAATATATGGATATATGTGTAAATGTAAAACTCATTTTCCTTGCGCTGCACACAAGGCTCTTTCTTACTGCTCTCCAGTTACGTAACTATCTCTACATGCATTCTTATCGCAACTCACGATCTGCGACTATATGTTAATATATCTAGATATTCAGAGACTTGGCAGGTATTTTGATAGATCTACTCAGCTGTTTTCTATTTGAAACTTTGACCACTTTGTTTTGTATATAATTTATATTGACTTTCGTAGCAAAATGAAAGCAAAAGAGATGAAAAATGAATTGATATTTATACAAATATATTCATACACAATATTGTTTACCTTGTAGCCTAAATATAATATTTAAATATAAATTTAGTATAGAGTGTGGCTTACTTTATGTGACAAAACAAATGTAACGCGAAATACTTTAAATCCAGAACATCAATCAAAACAATTGAAGAAGTCTATGTGAGATTTCCCCAAGCAGAAAAAATAATGGATAAAAATAATATAAGCAGTAAATAAGCCCCTGTAGAATCGAAAGCTGTAAAACTGTTTCCAATCAAGTTCAAGCTCAAGCTGGAGATTGGGACCAGCGACTTCCTTAATATAATAATTAAGCAAGACGAAACCCTATAGTCAAGTTCCGCGACTATAAGATCCCAGTTACTGTTTTACACAATTTTAAATTATTCATATTGCAAGTGGAAATTCAAAAGGTGCCACCTATTGTCAGAGGAAGCATGTTGACTAACTGATAGTGACTTCACTACCCATGTGAGGTAACTAGCGAAATAATGTTTCGATCGATAGATATTTACATAAGTCGGTTATACAAGGTCAGACGAAAGCATGCATAATAATATTATAGACGCCACTGTTTTCTGCGGTTTGTGGGCGTCAGAGCGGACGTGACCGGATGAAAACTAGTGGCAAGTTACATTGACATCTCTTAAATACGTATTCTTAAGCCTAGATTTTTGGCTTTCAACTTTCTCGCTCTAATAGTTCCTAAGATTTCAGCGAGATTATCTTTCGCGATTTGTGGGCGTTAGAGTGGGCGTTTAACGCAATTTTAAAATATTCATTTTGCTAGTCGAAAGCATGTTGAGTATCTGATAGTGACGTATCTGCCTATGTGGAGGCATAAAGTATAATATTATGGACGCCTAAATTTTGCGCGGTTCCTGGGTACGTATTCTTAAGCACAATTTTCTGGCTCTTATAGTTCCAGAGATTATTGCAGTTTTTGTTTTCCGGGTTTTCTGGGCTTTATTCGCATTTAATTAATTAATTCACATTTGGGCATCATTAAATGCTTCACGCATAATCCAAACTTTCTATCACTTATACTTTCCGAGATATCAGCTTCTCTACAAAATGCGAAATCGGTCTTTCGAGCTTTGTGAGCTTAGGAGTGAGTGTGGCCGAATAATGGTACCACCATAGGATGCGCTGGCATCTCAAGATTATACATTCATACTTAGTGTTAGCTTACTTTCAACTTACTTTCTAGCTCTAATAGTTCCTACGATTAGTTTGTTCAACGATTTTATTTTTTCGAGATTTGTTGGCTTTACAGTGGGCGTGGTAGGATGCTGCAATATACTTGCGCTACGTAGGGACTACGTACGGACACGGCTCAATCGCTTTCGCTATTGCTCCTGATAAAGAATATATATACTTTTTATAGACTGAAACGCTTCCTTTTACCTGTTAGTACTTTTAAACGAATCTTATATACCCTTTTACTATACAAGTAGTATAGAGACAAACCCGGGTTTTGATATTTAGTTCGCTATTAATATATCAGTCTTTCCTACAATCTGAAAACATTCACATTACTCCCTGCATTATAAGCGAATTAAGTCCGATGCCAGCACACACACAGCACAAATAGTCAATTACAGTGGACCGCAGTTTTTTTCTTGCAGCCGAAGAGTGAAAATTTAAGACGTTATTGCGGCTTAACTAACAAAAATAACTATAAACAAGAGGAAACGTTCACATTACTCCCTGCTTTATAAGCGAATTAAATCTGATGCCAGCTCTATTAAATAGTCAATTACAGTGGACCGCAGTTTCATTCTTGCAGCCGAAGAGTAAAAATTTAGGTTGTTATTGCGGCTTAACTAACAGAGATAACTATAAACAAGGGGAAACGTTATAGTCGAGTGGCGCGACTATAAGATACCCGTTACTGTTTTACACTATTTAACAATATTAATTTTGCTAGTGGAAATTCACAAGGCGCCAGCTTTTGTCAGAGAAAGTATCTTGAGTAACTGACAGTGACTTCACAATCCATGTGAGTCCTTATAACCTAAATTTCTTCATAAATAGCGAAATAATGTTTCGATTTCAAAAATCTTTGGCAAATGAATAGATACAACAGAAATAATTAATACAAGGTCAAACGAAAGCATTCATAATAATACTAAGGAAGCCACAGTTTTCCGCGGTTTGTAGGCATTAGAGTCAGCGTGGCCGGATGGAAACTAGTGGCAAGTTGCAGTGGCATTTCTTAAATACGTATTCTTAAGCACAACTTTGGAGCTCTTTTAGTTTCCGAGATTTTTTCATTTTTGGTTTTTCGGGTTTTGTGGGCGTTAGAAAGGGCGTGGCATGATCGGAAAAAACAATTCGCATTGAGATCGTCATAAAAACGAACATGCTTAATCCGAACTTTCTATCACTTATAGTTACCGAGATGTCAGCGTATGGGTGAAAGAGGCCGGATAATAATACTACTATAAGATGCGCTAGCATCCAAAGATTATACATACTGAATTTGATTTTTCTAGCTCTAATAGTTCCTTAGATTTCAGCTACTTTAGTTTTTCGCGATTTGTAGACGTTAGAGTGGGCGTGGCAGGATGCTGCCGTTACTCGTAAAGTAAAAGGGTATACTATTTTCGTTGAAAAGTATGTAACAGATAGAAGGAAGCGTTTCCGACCCTATAATGTCTGTCTGTCTGTCAGTCTGCCAGTCTGTCAGTCTGTCATTCTGTCAGTCTGTCAGTCTGTCAGTCTGTCAGTCTGTCAGTCTGTCAGTCTGTCAGTCTGTCAGTCTGTCAGTCTGTCAGTCTGTCAGTCTGTCAGTCTGTCAGTCTGTCCAGTCTGTCAGTCTGTCAGTCTGTCAGTCTGTCAGTCTGTCAGTCTGTCAGTCTGTCAGTCTGTCAGTCTGTCAGTCTGTCAGTCTGTCAGTCTGTCAGTCTGTCAGTCTGTCAGTCTGTCAGTCTGTCAGTCTGTCAGTCTGTCAGTCTGTCAGTCTGTCAGTCTGTCAGTCTGTCAGTCTGTCAGTCTGTCAGTCTGTCAGTCTGTCAGTCTGTCAGTCTGTCAGTCTGTCAGTCTGTCAGTCTGTCAGTCTGTCAGTCTGTCAGTCTGTCAGTCTGTCAGTCTGTCAGTCTGTCAGTCTGTCAGTCTGTCAGTCTGTCAGTCTGTCAGTCTGTCAGTCTGTCAGTCTGTCAGTCTGTCAGTCTGTCAGTCTGTCAGTCTGTCAGTCTGTCAGTCTGTCAGTCTGTCCGTCTGTCAGTCTGTCAGTCTGTCAGTCTGTCAGTCTGTCAGTCTGTCAGTCTGTCAGTCTGTCAGTCTGTCAGTCTGTCAGTCTGTCAGTCTGTCAGTCTGTCAGTCTGTCAGTCTGTCAGTCTGTCAGTCTGTCAGTCTGTCAGTCTGTCAGTCTGTCAGTCTGTCAGTCTGTCAGTCTGTCAGTCTGTCAGTCTGTCAGTCTGTCAGTCTGTCAGTCTGTCAGTCTGTCAGTCTGTCAGTCTGTCAGTCTGGCAGTCTGTCAGTCTGTCAGTCTGTCAGTCTGTCAGTCTGTCAGTCTGTCAGTCTGTCAGTCTGTCAGTCTGTCAGTCTGTCAGTCTGTCAGTCTGTCAGTCTGTCAGTCTGTCAGTCTGTCAGTCTGTCAGTCTGTCAGTCTGTCAGTCTGTCAGTCTGTCAGTCTGTCAGTCTGTCAGTCTGTCAGTCTGTCAGTCTGTCAGTCTGTCAGTCTGTCAGTCTGTCAGTCTGTCAGTCTGTCAGTCTGTCAGTCTGTCAGTCTGTCAGCCTGTCAGTCTGTCAGTCTGTCAGTCTGTCAGTCTGTCAGTCTGTCAGTCTGTCCGTCTGTCAGTCTGTCAGTCTGTCAGTCTGTCAGTCTGTCAGTCTGTCAGTCTGTCAGTCTGTCAGTCTGTCAGTCTGTCAGTCTGTCAGTCTGTCAGTCTGTCAGTCTGTCAGTCTGTCAGTCTGTCAGTCTGTCAGTCTGTCAGTCTGTCAGTCTGTCAGTCTGTCAGTCTGTCAGTCTGTCAGTCTGTCAGTCTGTCAGTCTGTCAGTCTGTCAGCCTGTCAGTCTGTCAGTCTGTCAGTCTGTCAGTCTGTCAGTCTGTCAGTCTGTCAGTCTGTCAGTCTGTCAGTCTGTCAGTCTGTCAGTCTGTCAGTCTGTCAGTCTGTCAGTCTGTCAGTCTGTCAGTCTGTCAGTCTGTCAGTCTGTCAGTCTGTCAGTCTGTCAGTCTGTCAGTCTGGCAGTCTGTCAGTCCGTCAGTCTGTCAGTCTGTCAGTCTGTCAGTCTGTCAGTCTGTCAGTCTGTCAGTCTGTCAGTCTGTCAGTCTGTCAGTCTGTCAGTCTGTCAGTCTGTCAGTCTGTCAGTCTGTCAGTCTGTCAGTCTGTCAGTCTGTCAGTCTGTCAGTCTGTCAGTCTGTCGCCTGTCAGCTCGTCAGCTCCGTCAGTCTGTCAGTCTGTCAGCCCCCGTCTGTCAGTCTGTCAGCTCGTCAGTCTGTCAGTCT